CTTCAACTCCATTCGTGAAAATGTTCAAAATGAAGACATAGAGATTTGTAAAGTACATACGGACCTGAATATGGCAGATCCGTTGACTAAACCTCTCCCTAAAGCAAAACATGATCAACACCAGAACTGCATGGGTGTTCGATTCATCACAATGTAACTAGACTATTGACTCTAGTGCAAGTGGAAGACTGTTGGAAATATGCCCTAGAGGCAATAATAAAATGGTTATTATTATATTTCGTTATTCATGATAATTGTCTATTGTTCATGCTATAATTATGTTATCCAGAAATCGTAATACATGTGTGAATGCATAGACCACAACGCGTTCCTAGTGAGCCTCTAGTTGACTAGCTCGTTGATCAATAGATAGTCATGGTTTCCTGACTATGGACATTCGATGTCATTGATAACGGGATCACATCATTAGGAGAATGATATGATGGACAGGACCCAATCCTAAGCATAGCTCAAAGATCGTGTAGTTCGTTTGCTGTAGCTTTTCTAAATGTCAAGTATCATTTCCTCAGACCATGAGATTGTGCAACTCCCGGATACCGTAGGAGTGCCTTGGGTGTGCCAAACGTCACAACGTAACTGGGTGACTATAAAGGTACATTACAGGTATCTCCGAAAGTGTCTGTTGGGTTGGCACGAATCGAGACTGAGATTTGTCACTCCGTATGACGGAGAGGTATCTCTGGGCCCACTCGGTAATGCATCATCATAATGAGCTCAATGTGACCAAGTGGTTGATCACGGGATCATGCATTACGGTACGAGTAAAGTGACTTGCCGGTAACGAGATTGAACAAGGTATTGAGATACCGACGATCGAGTCTCAGGCAAGTAACGTACCGATTAACAAAGGGAATTGTATACAGATTGATTGAATCCTCGACATCGTGGTTCATCCGATGAGATCATCATGGAGCATGTGGGAGCCAACATGGGTATCCAGATCCCGCTGTTGGTTATTGATCGGATAGGCGTCTCGGTCATGTCTGCATGTCTCCCGAACCCGTAGGGTCTACACACTTAAGGTTCGGTTACACTAGGGTTGTAGAGATATTAGTATGCAGTAACCCAAAAATTGTTCGGAGTCCCGGATGAGATCCCGGACATCACGAGGAGTTCCGGAATGGTCCGGAGGTAAAGATTTATATATAGGAAGTCTAGTTTCGGCCATCGGGAAGGTTTCAGGGGTCACCGGTATTGTACCAGGACCACCGGAAGGGTCCCGGGGGTCCACCGGGTGGGGCCACCTATCCCGGAGGGCCCCATGGGCTGAATTGGGTGGGGAACCAGCCCCTATTGGGCTGGTGCGCCCCCCTTAGGCCTGTCCTGCGCCTAGGGTTGGGAAACCCTAGGGGTGGGGGCGCGCCCCACTTGGCTTGGGGGGGAAGCCACCCCTTGGTCGCCGCCCCCTTGGAGATCCATCTCCCTAGGGCCGGCGCCCCCCCCCCAAGGCCCCTATATAGAGAGGGGGGAGGGAGGGCAGCCGCACCCTTGCTCTTGGCGCCTCCCTCTCCCTCCGTAACACCTCTCCTCCCCGCTTGCGCTTGGCGAAACCATGCCGGGATCCTGCTGCATTCAACACCACGTCGTCGTGCTGCTGGATCTTCATCAACCTTTCCTCCCCCCTTGCTGGATCAAGAAGGAGGAGACGTCTTCCTAACCGTACGTGTGTTGAACGCGGAGGTGCCGTCCGTTCGGCACTAGGTCATCGGTGATTTGAATCACGTCGAGTACGACTCCATCAACCCCGTTCTCTTGAACGCTTCCGCGCGCGATCTACAAGGGTATGTAGATGCACTCCTCTCTCCCCTTGTTGCTAGATGACTCCATAGATTGATCTTGGTGATGCGTAGAAAATTTTAAAATTCTGCTACATTCCCCAACAGGATTCTCCAACCTCATGGTGTAATTCATATTCCTCAAAACATAATGCATCAATAAAGCGGGTGAATTTTTCTAAAAAGGGAACTTGTTGCCTGGGGAGCTACTTTTTCCCCTGAAAAAGGAGAGTCCTTCCCTCTTCAGTGAGGTGGCGCACTCGTTGTGGTACAAATCCATATTCACCTCCCTGCTCACTTGTTCACCTTCCCTCTCCGGTCAAAAAACTTCAACAACCCCCTCTCCTCGCTTTGGCAGTGGCGATTGTCTCCTGCCTCTTCGAGAGGGTGCTCTCCCCCTCCTCCTCCTCCTCGTGTAGGGTCGGTGTTCTCCCCCTTCTCTAACATCGGTGGTATTGTCTTCCCTTCTCGCAGACAACGATTGTCACATCCTCCCTCTTTGGCACATACGATGGTGAAGCACCCCTCCCCCTCCGACGCCTTGCTTTGTTGGCTCCAACATTCGTGGTGACGTGGCAGCATCACGTTGGTGTGTCGCGTGTGGTTGACCTCATCCAGGGAAAATGGCGAGCTCTTCGCGCTCATGTGCATCTACCAAGTCTATTGAGACTGTGTGTGTTTGCACACACAAAAATGGCACGCTTAAAAACAATCACCATAGTGCGCACTTGATTCATAGTTACTTGTTTTGCATTATATTTCTGCCTTTTTTTCGAGAACACCTTGAAAGGGGCAGGCTTGTAAAGTTGTTTGTATGGCTCCATCGCTTTGACTTAATGCACTACTTGGGTCCTTCCGGACCTTATTCCTTGTTGAAGAAAAAAAGGGGGGGGGGGGGCAGGAAGTTTCTGCATTGCATCACAGTTCTGCCTCGGAGACTTGTGGCACTCCCAAATTCTAGATGGTGGTCTTCCCAAACAAAGCAACACAAAAAAAAGTTGCTTTCAGATAGACGGTGGTGGAACTCCTTGACGTTGTTCTCCCTCCGGTCCTTTTTACACTACATATTAGATTTATGCCAAGCCAAACTTTATAAAGTTTGACCAAATTTATATTAAAAAATATCAACATCTACAATATTAATTTGGTATTGTGAATGTCGATACTTTTTCCTATAAATTGGTCAAAGTAGAGATACTTTGACTTCGGACAAAACTTATATGCAGAGTAAAAAGGACCGGAGGGAGTACTACTAGTGTTGTGTTATGTTAAACATTTTTTTGCGAGGAATGTTAAACCTTCTTACAGAAGGACAGCCAGCAGGCAGAAAATGTTGCGAGGAATGTTAAACGTTTTTTTTTTGGTTGCGAGGAATGTTAAGCGTTTTTTTTTCAAAAAAAAAAGACCTCCCTATCCGAGCGCCAAAACTATTCCTGCTACACGCCTACACCGACCGAACCCATACACACGCTACTTGTAAAGTGGGATGGCGGCCGCGTCGTCACATCCATCCATCATGCTCTCCACTCCACGATTCCATCGACCGGAAATTCCCCCACCTGAATTATAGCGAGGCGATGCCCGCATCCATCCATTCCGCCCACTTTCACCACAGCGCTTTCACCCCGCCTTCCAGTCTCCGGATCTCAACATGCCACTGCACACTCAACATCCCGCCGCACGACGGCGACCACGGATCCAACGCCATCGGGAGGCGAAGATGAACCACACGCAATGCCCACGGCCCCAACCGCCGGCCCGATTTGATTTGATCGCCGCTGTCAAATCATCCAGCGGATTAGTGCCGAGGCCACCCGCGCTGATCAACCTAATCAATCATCATCAGGATATGTATAATGTGACACTTGTGCTGGTACTCGGCGCGCTGTCACACGCCCGGGGAGCCATGAAAGCCTCCTCCCATTTGCCACTGCCCCGGGTTAAGAATGAATGAATGATCACCATGCACGATACGCTCAATTATTTCGTCCGTCCGAGCAAGCAAGCAAGCCACCTTTGTACTACATAATACGTAGTACTCCCTTCATTTTATAATGTAGTGCGCTCGCGTTTTTCGAGATTTAAGTTCAATTATAAATTTAACCAACGAGACCGACTCATAATGTAGTGCGCCCACGTTTTTCGAGATTTAAGTTCAATCATAAATTTAACCAACGAGACCGACTGCGGTGGGAGTAAAAATTATACCACTAAATTCGTATTTTCAATTTGAATTCGGTGACATAATTTTTGCTCCCGTCGCAGTCAGTCTCGTTGATTAAATTTACAATCAAACTTGGATCTCTGAAAGCGCGGGCGCACTACATTGTGGAATTGATGGAGTATGATTTTCTGGTATGGTGGGTTCGTTTCGCTGTCAGCCATATGCGCTCAGTCACGTAGCACATGATAACTTCTTCAGGAAAGAAAAATTGTTCCTCCCATCCGGTCACCCTCAGCAGCCACCATGGGCCCGGCCCAGATGCCTCTATTTTACTACTTTATTCCTTCTCTTCGCCTAGCTGTACTGGAGTACTTATCTTTCTCACTACAGGAAATGCGTCCTCCTCCATGCTGAAAAGAACTCGACCCACCTCCCAGAAATCATGGTAGCTGAACCCAAAGGAGATCGTGGAACACTCAAAAGCTCATGAAAAAGGTGGCAGGTACGTACATGTGCAATGATTCTCCCATTAGACAAAACCACTGTTCATGCTTGCTAAAACAACATGCACCAACCGCACCAAAAGGGCATGGACCGAGGAGGGAGAAGGCTTCATCATGTGAGACAAGCCCAGTGCGCATGATCCTCGTCTGCGCTGTAGAATAAGGCAAGCACACATGCTAATGTAAAAGAACAGAAGCACTGAACCCTTTCTGCTCTTTACCAGACAATGGGCATCATCCATAGAAAAAGCTCAAAGGCAAATCATGAAGGTGAGGGAACCTTAGGTTAAATCCGGAAGAGACCAACCGCATCCACGAAACTTTGCTTCAAAGGAAGCAATCATGGTGCGAAGCAACGCATGCTACCGAGTCCCAGTTCCAGCAAGCTACAAACAAAGCAGAATTACAAGCAAACGAAAGGGAGTGTCCGTGATCTAGAATGGAAGTCCTATGGGGGGAATGAGGGTTCTACTACTTTCTTCCCTTCCTTCGACCGCCGCCGCCTGTGTCGTCGTCGACCTCCGTCGGTCGCCGGTTTTATTCACAGGCCAGTTTCGTGTCGAAGCTGCTCAGGCACATTGCGAAGGCCTGGAACGCCGACAGCGGGTAGCGGTAGTCCATGGTGAACATGTCCTTGGACACCTTGCCGAACTGCAGGATGATCTTGTCCTGCTCCGGCGCCGGGGCGGGCTGCGACGGGGCCGGGGCCGGGGCCGGCGCCCCCGCCCCCGTGGCGGGGGGCGGGGGCTGGCTCGGCGCCGCGATCAGCTGGAAGTTCTTCACCGAGGCGATGGTCACGCGGCCGCGGAAGTTGAGGCACCAGCACTGCAGCTGCTCGTGCCACCTCGGAACCTTGTTGCGGAGCACCAGCGGCCTCTCCTTCTCTCCGTCTTCGTCACGGCTTATGGCGGCGCCTCCGGCAATGTCGGACAGAAACCGGGAACTGCTGAAGTAACGGGAGCTGCTGAAATCCGTGGACCGGTCCATGATGGATGACTTGGAGAAGGAGCTCATGCTGCGAAACGAGTCCTCTAGAGCCCGGGGCATGATCTGGTCAGGCTGCCCAGGGACTATGCCGCCGGGCTCGACCGATGAGGCCGGTATGGAGTGCATGATGCAGTTCATCCGCCTAGGGCCCCTCGTGCCAAGAACATTTAGCTCGTAAGACACCTGAGCTATGTTGTAGCTGCCGGATGGCACCTTGGGAGACACTTTCTTAGAGTTGAATCTCCGGCTACTCCGTCCAACCGGAGGAACTAAAGCCCCATTGTAGGGGGGCTGCGTGTCATATACTATGAATTTTGTGCCGAGGAAGTTTGACCTGGAAATGAAAAGAAAGTTGGTTTCATTATCCGCAAATGCATGAGACCAGGAGGAAATGGTTACAGTATACATGTATAACTCGTACCTCAGTTTTCCAATGTAGGTGCTGCTTGATCTTGAGATGTTTTCAGCATCCATTGAGATAACATATTCGGTGCAGGTTGTCCTGCGGATCCTTTTAGCAGACAAGAGGAACTTGCCATTCTCCACAAGTACCGCTGATTCAAAATAAAAGAAATAAAAGATCAGCACCTCAACTTCACCATGATATCATTTTCTTTTTGCGGATAACTTCACCACGATTTCATCATAGAATAAAAACAGGTAGAAACATTTGAGACAAAACCAAGGCCAAAATGTAGAATTTCATACTAGCATATTAGCTAGTTTTCAGCAAAAGTCATATCCTTGGGGCGACCTTAGCACAATATATGAATAGTATATACTTCTAAAGGTGAAAAAGGCTATCATACCATTAGTCAGGCACAAGTAGAGATGATAAGTAGACTTTGATTTATCTCGCTTTATAAAACATTGAATCATTCCATCTCGAGGGCCAGGCTGTTGAAAAAAATAAACGAGTGTCAGGTGTCTTGACTTAAGAGGCATGAGAATAAGCAAAACAACAAACACTCCTCAGTCTCAGATGTTGCCATCTAGGTAGAACAAAATAGCATTCTTGGTAGCATTCAGGTTAAGGATTGCTTTATTAGCACACGGGGAAATTTCACCTGCTTCAGAGAGACGGGGAAGGTGAGCTTTCCGCAAAACTCCGGGCTCGTCACAATCTCCCTGCACATCTCCCTCCACGCCTTGCAAACGGCGGCGCAGGACACCACATGCTTGCGCGACGGCCAGGTGCTCTCGCTTGCCTCCAGCCTCCGGATCACGTCGCTGAGGAGCTCGGGAGGGAGGCTGGCCCAGCGGCTCTCCTGGACTATGAGATCGGCGTCGCGGAGCTCGTGCACCGTGCTCTGGCACTTGCCCCTGTGGTGCCCGGTGAGGCCGGACAGGCCGGAGATGGTCACCTCGAAGCTCCGCCTCGACAGGCTGCCGAAACCGTCCCTGACATCACGAACTATGCTGCGGAACGACATCTGCGCTAGGTAGATGCAGGCTGGAAGCTCGAAGCTTTCTAAACTGTTCCTCTTATTGAGCAGAGGTCACAGATCACGGCACCAGAGCAAGGATTGCTGCTCCGGAGTATGTCTAGATAGAAGCAATCATCAACGTGTACCTGCGGAAGAGAGAGCAAAATAACCTTGGTGAGTATAGCATGAAAGAGACACCCGTCTTGGTGAAAAATTATACTAATTCCGTTGCAGCCCCCTGCTAGGAACAAATCGCCTCATCAAGAGAAAAAGAGTAGTCCACACATCGAAAATGGCCATGGCGGCGCCGGGAAAAAAAAGAACATGATACCCCGGTGGCATGCTGCGACATTTGGAGAAAGAAATCTTCACCCTAGTACAGCTATCCCATGACAAACTTGGAAATATGCCGTTCCATGGTAAAATAAATAAATCAAGAAGGCTCCATTTCACCCCGGATAGAGACAATAAAAAAGAGGATCTCTGAAGAACATATGTAGTGCTAAGAAATCGACAGGTTCCTACGCGAGATCTGAAGTCTTGTGCGGGGACAAGAACGACGACTGTGGCAGTCAAAGCCGAGGCGTTAGGACAGCTGAACGAACTCTTGGCACGGACGAATTTAACGGACGAGAGAACAAAAAGATGCCAAGAACTCGGCATTTACTGCCGCATCCGGACGCACGGTCGCTTGATCCGGACAGTAAACGCCCCGAAAAGCTCGCCCCTGCACAACCGGCGCGTCAATCAATCAAATCAAGGACGGAGGAAGGCCAAGACTCCCCGAAATAACTCACATCAGCGCGGACTCTGGGGGTCTTGAGCGCCGATCCGGAGCTCCCGCGCCCGTGCCGCCGCCTCTGGAGACGAACGAGGTCGATCCGGCTCCAGCCCCAGCTGCCGCGCTCACGCCGTCCCCGCCTGGAGGTTCCTTTCTTGGGCACGCGAAGAGTGTGGGAGAGAGAGGAGAGGAGGTGAGGTGGGTGTGAAGAGGGAGGGAGGGAGACCCGGAGCGAGCGAGCGGAGGGGAATGGGGAAAGGCGCAGAGACACACACACACGAGGCGGGTGCCGCGGCTGTTGTTTATCGTCTCCCGTCCGCGCTCGCTCGCTCCGGTCCACGGGGCGGGGGGTGGCGTTCGGTTGACCGTTCCGTTGCGTTCCGTCTCCTGTCCTCCTGCCGTGTGGGTGTGTGTGCGTGCCGACTTGCGCGCGGGGCGTGACGGCGTCAGCCTCGCTCCTGCCGCTCCATTTTCTTCTTGGTTCCTGACGTCTCCCGAGTCCGCTGGCGCCTGCGTCGCTCGCTACCTGCGCGCATTTCGCTGGCTCGCTGCCGCGGCAGGGAAAGCGGGTCGCTTTTGGTGGGCTTTGGCCGAGCTTTCTGCTTTCGCCCGCGTGCACGGCTGCCCGTGGGCGCGGGGGCTCCTGGCGCTGGCGACCGCACGCTGACGTGCTGCCGATTGGGTTAACACGGTTGTTTTAACAAATCAATCAGGGATCAGGGCGAGTGAATAGACCAGTCTACACTCTGGAAGATGTACTACTATACTATCTGTACGATGTATGATGTACGACGTGTTAGGGCATCTTCAACACCAACCCTCAAATCAACCGTACGAGTTGTGCCATCCAAGAAAGTCTTGTATCGGTCCGCCGAGCGGTTCGGATCACGTTTTCCCGACAAAACTGGTACCAAACGTGGGGTTTTGCGGAAGTCCGAGTAGCAGACACGTAGGACCCCGACACCCTGGCCCACCCAAAAGGCAGGCGGAGCCCGCGCTTTTTGTAGTTGTCTGCCCTGTTTCCGCGGCAAAAACCCCAATCTCATCTTCCATACAGCCGCTCTCCACGCAACTCCCGCCCTTTTCTCCCACTCTATTCTTCCCTTCGGCCACCGTCGCCGCATGGAATCGGAGAAGAGCCTGCCGGAGACAGAGGGCGGGTGGAGGTGCTAGAGGATCCGAATGACGGCGTAAAATACCGTCAGATCCCTCTGTAGGGTTCATGACGAGGTCGAAAGTACCGGGACGGAGCCCGCACGCACAGTTTATCCCAGGGTCGGGCCTCCGTAGAGTAATACCCTACATCCCGCTTCTTCTTGTTATTCATGGTGGAGGGATACCTCGTGCGAGATATTACAATGGTCTGACCATACACCTGTCTTACACCTCATAACCCATTTTGTACTCACGCGGACATGACGCACTCTGGAATGTTACGTGTTATAGATGGTAACAACACTAGGAAGAGCACCTTTTTTAATTTGATATTTACTGTGAGAAATCATCCTAATAATTGACTACTGAGCAATCAAAGGGTGCAAACAACAAAAGGGATAAACATCTCAGAAAATTCATAATAGCATGATATGGTATAGCCCTGGATGCCCGGAACATCTCCATGGTCCTCCAAGGTCTTCTTCGGAATCGTTGTCGTGGCAACAATTTTGAAAAACATCCGTTGTGGCTCCGATTTTGTTCTCTTGCGCTTGGTGAAGCTCCGGGTCCTCCGTGTAAGCTGTAGGCTATCTCTACATCTATTACATTAAGGTGGCAATCCCGTGGCTTCGGCCATCATGCCGTGATGCGCATGTCACTTAACATTACAACATATAACCATCTCATAGATAAATGCATTATCATGACGAAGGCAATACCACATCACGTGAAACCCTACGAAACCAAGTTAGACGTCCTCTAATCGGTTTGGCAAATTTTAATTACGTGACTTCTAAGTTTTCCAGATAACACTAGCTACTTACGCACACCATCAAGTCGATAATTCTTGTTGCTAGATTAACTTTCGGGGTGTGTGAAAGAAAAGACTTAATTAAAAATCTCGCCCCCCACACTAAACTTCGTCAAACATGCGTGACCCCCTAGAAGATCATTCATCTTCATTGCCCTCTTGCATACGCGACAGTTCATTATTCTTGACTATGATGAAACCCAAGGAATTGTTAGCAGATCGTCGACAGCTAGAGCCGATCGATTGTCAGAACCTTGTAAAAGCGACATCATGCCGTCAATGAACTGAATCGAAGCAACACTCAAGGGAAGCATAGCAAGAACATCACATCCACATGTGATCTAGATCGAAACCTGCATCTACTCATAGGACCGCTGATGGTGCCACTGTTGTGAAATGTAGTAGAAAACAAAAAAAATTGCCCTACGATCAACCAGGAACAATATGAAGATGCATATAGTGTTTGGATCAACGATCGTTACCGAGTTCGGAGTGCAGCAGAAGTAGACGAGTTGGTGTAGATCATACTTTGAGTCCCTCGAACCGTCGATGATGATCCCGCGAACCGCCCTTGAACGATATCTCAAATGGAAGACTGAAAGTACGACCTATCTACTTGGTTGCAAGCGCACGATCTTCACGATCGCCATTCAGAGCTAATCCTCGTCGGAGAATTAGAAAGAGGAGATTAGAACCATACTAGGCTTCTAATTATGAGGATTAGAGGAACTAGGTATAGCTCTAATTAGTCGATTAGGACTAACTAGGACTAGAACTAGACGAACTAGAGGAGGCATCAAAACTTGTGAATAGAAAAGGGCCAACACCTAATGTATATATAGGTTAGAGGGGAGAGGAGAGGCTGCCAGCAAGGAGGGAAAGCCCCATTATATCTTAGGTAATCCCATAAATGTTGAGACCAATATAATTGACACCGTAACACCGGAAGAGTACATAAGGGACACTTTCCAGAACGTTTCAGACTCTAAAAAGGAATAGGTATGTGGTACGGTAAGTAAACCAACTCTAAAACTGTTCTAATAGCAATTTTTCTCCATTTTGAAATATTTAAAAAATTAGGAAAATTAAAAGTAGTCCGAAAGAGACACGAGGAGGCCACAAGGGTGGAGGGCGCGGCCTACCCCCCTGGGCGCGCCCCCTGCCTTGTGGCCACCTCATGTGCCCTCCGGACTCCGTTTTCTTGCACAATACTTCTTTTGGTAGGTAAAATTCATTATATAATCTCCCGAAGGTTTTGACCACCGTACCATGAAAAAATCCTCTGTTCTTGTTTTGAGTTGTTTTTCTGACAGATCTAGATCACCATGACGTCTCCAAGCGCCCCCAAGGACAAGTTTTTCGAGAAGGTCATCAACCCTTACCTCGTGGAGGTGCCGCAACACCCTCAAACCATTGAGATGCGTGAGGGGGTGTTGCACATCCGCGATGTTGAGGGACCAAAGAAGACCGGAAGCATGGAGACAAGACTCGAAGCAATGGAGCAGCAAGTTTTCAAGTGCCAGGGGATGGTGGAACATGGACTCAACGCCAATCACATGATGATCGTGGAGTTCACCAACAATCACAAGCTGGATGCCAAGAACATCGGGGAGGCCATCTTCAAGCTTCACGAGAAAATCGAGCACCTCCAGGCCCAAATCTATGACATGCAAAACCAAAACTATGAGCATGAATATAGATTCAAGAGGATGAGTTTGGCTGCATATTTGAGGATCCTGGAGACTCGTTCATCCTTCTACGATGGTGAGCCTATGCCCTGGAAGATGGACGACAAGCCTACATCATCAACAACTCCATCATCACCACCTCCAAAGAAAGAGACATAAATACATGGGTATGGGCACTCCCCTTGGCAACTGCCAAGCTTGGGGGAGGTGCCCCGGTATCGTATCACCATCACACCTCTATCTTTATCGTTTTTCTTAGTTCGATCCTTTTGGTTATATCTTGATCTAGTAGAATAAAGTTTTAGTATGATATAGCTTTGAGTTTTGTTTTGATCCCTATCTATGTAACCGAGTCCGCAAGTTATATATAATAAAGAGTAGTTTTGAGTTGAGGGCTTTGCTTTCTTGCTATGATCTCGAGGGAATAGAACAAGAGAAAAATATAGAAAAAATAAAAAGATCATATGTTGATCTTATGGAGAGTAATGACTTCACATATAAATAGTATGATGAATAAAAGTTGTTGATAGTTGACAAACATAGTTTTGGTCATTGTTGCAATTAATAGGAA